TCTAGCCGTTTGGGCTCCGCTTCGGCCGAGTTTAAACTCGTAAAAGAAAATCGTACGAAATTCTCGCTTTGACATTATAAGGATGACTGAATTATTTCCAAGTAGCGGAATGCTACAGAGGTAAACAAACAATATCATTTGGAAGAGGATTAATATCCTGTAAACGTAAACAGAATATTTTATATAGATTTTTTTTAATGAAAACTTAAAATCCTGCATTATTTTCCGGACAACCCAATAATTATAAAAAAAAAATTCCCAATGTTTGCATGGAATTATTATCCAGGCGGAGATAAGAGTTAGCTGCGAACGAGGTCAATTATGTCCCCAGATGCGACAGATAGTGCGGACAGGGAAATATTCGAGTTGGAAGTACCGCTTATAATCACGTCAATTAATCAACGAGATATGCATGGGAAAATGTTGAGAAACCATTGTCTCCTCGCAGAAAACGCCAAGGGCTTTCGTAGTTTACGTCTCGCTCTTATCATTTGCTCAGCTTGCGTTCTGAGGTCGAATTGTATGAGTATAATTTGATAAAGCAGCTACAAAAGCACGATCTGCAATTTTTTAAATTTTCCATGTCAGTGTTGGTCTAATGCCTGTGCCTGAAGGGGTGGTTAGAAAGACATTCATTCTCCCACACCAAATTCTACCATATTTACATAGATTTTATAACTTCTTACACTAACGTAGAAACAAGATAATTTTCTTTCCAATATGTTATTTACATGAGTAGATAAATGATAATTATGAAGTTACGCTGCTCCTAAACTATAGCGTACAGCATGACACTACTCTTAGCTTTAATGCTTTTTTTATTTTTCTAGATTATATGCTTGCTTACACTGAGGTGTCAGTGTTGATAATGCACTTGTAAAATATTATTTTCTTGAATAGATAATACTAAAATTAATTCTGCAGTTATGTTGCTCCCAAAATTTGGTGTATGGCAAAGACTCTTAGCTTTATTTTCTTTATTTTCATGCATTATATGACTTCTTATTTGGGAGAGTAAGTTGATAATATTAACGTAGACAGAGTCGATAGGTTCATTATAAATTAGAATTTTTCTTTAGTAGATAGTTGGAAATTCTAAAATTATGCTGCTTCCAAACTCTCGTGTATCGCAAGGTTACACTATTAGATCTTATGCTCTTCTTTATTTTCATGCATTATATGACTTCTTATTTGGGAGAGTAAGTTGATAATATTAACGTAGACAGAGTCGATAGCTTCATTATAAATTAGAATTTTTCATTAGTAGATAGTTGGAAATTCTAAAATTATGCGGCTTCCAAATTCTCGTGTATCGCAAGGTTACACTATTATATTTGATGCTCTTATTTATTTTCATGCATTAAATGACTTCTTATATAGGGATAGTAAGTTGATAATGTTTATTGTAAAATATAATTTTGTTTAGTAGATAATTGATAATTATGAAATTATGCTGCTCCCAACCCGTGTTGTATGGCAATGGTGTCCACTTCGCCCTGTTCTTTTTCCAAATTATTCTGGATTAAATAATTTCATTGATGATATACTTTTTATATGTGTTAATGTACACAGAGTCAATAGATTCATTGTAAATTACAATTTTTCTTTAGTATAGTTGCAAATACTAAAATTATGCTGCTTCCAAACTCCCCTGTATCGCAAGGTTACACTATTAGATTTGATGTTCTTCTTTATTTTCATGCATTATATGACTTCTTATACTAGAATATGGACAGTAAGTTGATGACGTCTGTTGTAAAATATAATTTTGTTTAATATACAACTGATAATTCTGAAGTTACTGCCAAACTTTGTTGTATGGTGAGGTCACGTTTTAGTCTTATTCTTTTCCCTTATTTTCGTTGATTATATTTACTGGAGTTTGAAGATAGAGTTGATAATGCCAATAAGATGCCGTTTTATGTACAAGGTAACTGGAAATTCTGAAATTATACTGCTCTCAAATTCTGATGTTTGGCTCGGATACACGCTTAGGCCCCTAAACTCTTCCTTGATGAAACACGTTTTAATATTGGTTTATTTAATCAGATCCGATAACGCCCACTATAAAATGCCATATTTCGGATAACAGAAAATTGCTGTTCTGAAGATTTTTGTGTATGGCAAAGGTCGCAGCCTTACCTTTGCCTATCTTTATTGACAGATTCTGACCTTCAGTGGCTTATCCTAATCAACGTCAATTTTAAAATACAGCTTGTTGAACGGATTCCTCGAAGTGCTATGGACCACTTTTAGGATTTATGATGCCAGAAGCTTAAAAGATCAACCTTATCATTTACATTATTATCGACCTTCACCAATGTCAAATTTACACGGTTGCCATAGATTTCCTCCTTTGCCCTATAATTAGCATGAAAGGATCTTGCGGGTTTTGTCCGGTTTTGATCGCAGTTAGCACGCTGAGATGTCTATCAGAGTGATGGTCTCTTAATAATTTCATCCAGTCGAACTGGGTCAACGAATCTAAAATTGGTCTAGCAGTGCACATGAGAACATACAATGTAGCTTGTTTGGATTATAATACCACTCTATACATCCAACATTACAACGCCAATGCATCTTCCCGATTTCGAACAATCTCTGTGGCAAAGGCTACTGAGTGTCATCCAATTTATAACGACATTAGTTGAATGTTAGTCTTGGAGAGACTCGATTATGCTGCAGTAAGTATACAACATCCATGAAGGGCGATTTGTGTTGGAAGAGTTTCTTCTAATTTTCGAACCTTATTCTACGTCATGTAGTTTTGAAAAGAGGTTTAAGGTTTAATTTGGCCCTTTTAATTTTCAGTGTTCGTACATACTCAGCCTTGCTATGTAACAATTAAACGAAATTATTCATTCATGTTTTTGAAACTAGACTAATATTTACCTGACTAATCTATTGCAGAGAAACGTTTGTTAAAAGAAGAAAAAAAAATGAAAATGTGATCTTTGAAATGAAAGTTGCTTTTGGTGAAATTGCCGTAATTATAAGAAGACTGTACATTAACATATTCTATTATTTAAAAATGATTGCAGATCTATGAAGTAAATATTGACAGTAGCAAAATAGACATCAATTGGTAATTTAGATTATTTTTTAAAAAAGTGCTAAATTTTGCGATTCTCAAGAATAAAACGAAAATTCTGGTTCTCGATTGTCTTTTCTCTTACACTCTTTCTTATTCTTTCTCTATCGAATTTAAGTTAGTTAAGGAAGTTTCTCTCTCTTTCTCTCTCTCCCTCCCTCTTTCTCTCTCCCTCTCTCCATCTCTGCTATTGCTCACGATCTTTCACTACTTTTGTTCGTATAATCAGAAAAGAAAGAGAAATTTGTGTAGATGATAGTGAAAGAGAGAGAGAGAAAGAGAGAGAGAGAGAGAGGGGAAGAGAGAAAGGGAGAGAGAGAGGGAGAGAGAAAGGGAGAAAGGGAGAGAGAGAGAGAGAGAGAGAGAGAGAGAGAGAGAGAGAGAGAGAGAGAGAGAGAGAGGGAGAGAGAGAGAGAGAGAGAGAGAGAGAGAGAGAGAGAGAGAGAGAGAGAGAGAGGGAGTGAGAGAGAGGAAGAGAGAAAGGGGGAGAGAGAGAGGAAGAAGAAAGGGAGAGAGAGAGAGATAGTGCGATGGAAAGAGAGAGAGAGAGAGAGAAATGAATCAGTGGAAGGGGAATGAGAAACATAAGCTCTTTCAATTTTTCGCCTCCCAAGAAAATCTGATTCGATCTGATGATCTCACATTCTCTCTCTCTCTCTCTCTCTCTCTTTCTCTCTCTGTATCTATCTACTTCCTTCCTATCTATCTATCCATCTATATATCTTTATTTATCTCTCTCGCCTTCTCAGGAAGAGAGTCTGATAAGTTTTATATATCTCTTTCTTTCCCTCCCTCTTTCTCCCTTTCTCTCACCCTCTTGCTCAGTCTCTTTTTCTCACTTTCTCTCCTTCTCTCGCCCTTTCTCTTTCTTTCTTCCTTTCATTATGTTCTTTGACAATCTATGTATGGTCTATTAATTAATGATAAATCTTACATGCCCATTCTAATGTTGAGAGGTTTTCTAATTTTATACGCTATAACCACACAAATAATAAAATTATTAATTGCTAAAATAAATTCTCAAATAAATCAACAAATGATTTACGAAATATTCGCTATTACGACATGAAATACACCAAATTTCTTTCATAGCTGTTAAATTTATGTAATAATAAAGGACGTGATTTTAACTTTACGTAATTTTATTGTTATTGCCATTGATTCAAGATAACTTAGGTTTTAAATTAACTAATTGAAATTAAAAACCGTTGCTTCATGATCGTCGTTGTCATTGGAAAAAAGCAGACTTATCCATTTGCATCTGGACGTTCCTTGTTTATAAAAGGCAAAAAAGCAACGATAATTTATTTTCTTGATATCGCCAAGTCACACATTTCATCTCTAATGAAAACAGATTGATTTTTAATCACCCATTCAAATTGTTAAACGATATGCGGGATTGATAGTAGAAACGTAGTTTTACCAATCAGTGAAAGGTCCCGCCTCCGCGGGATCACCGATTGGAAATAGGCTAAACATCATGAAACGTAGTTCAATCATATCGGAAGAACGACACGATTTCTTTGCTATCTTCTCACTGAAAATTGCGTCAATGTCAAAGTTCAGGGGATGGATTGCTCAACACCGGTTGTGACAGTCGGATCCCTAACCTGAAGGTCCGCTATCAATCTTTCTTCGATAATTAAGTGTTACGTTAGGAAGGAGCATCGGGCATTGTCGAAATTTACCTTTAACGGAACGAATAAATTATCAGTCTCCTACAATCGTATTTAATGGGGGATTTGTGAAATAACGGTGACAACGTTGCATTTCAGTCACGAAACATAAAAACCCAGGTACAACTATTATTTACCCTTGTTATATCGACCGTGAAACCCTTTTAAATTAAATTACCAAAATAATAGAATATTTATGGGTTTTTTTAAACGTTTTGGACTTTTGTTTTCAGGTAGTCATATACTTTGCTGCGCTAGTTGCTGTTGCTGTTGGCAGGCCGCAGGATGTGTCGACCACTCCGATCCCGATTTTGAAATACGAAAACCCAGGCGTCAACCACGACGGATCCTACAAATGGGCGTAAGAACACATTTATTAAAAAATAATTAAACAATTAAACACAACCGGGGTAGGGTGCCCCCAATCTCATTTTACATCTCGATTTACTATATTCAAATCTACTTTTCTTGAATATATAATGTCAGTTTCATTCATTAACAATAATCTAAAAATAGTTATTATCTAAAAAAGAACACCGCACAATAGAGCTCAATTAACACACGTGCTGTTGCGAGTTTGAAAAAATGAAACCGGGGAGGAGTACATCAAGCTTAAAGCTGCAATGCTCAGAGGGAGTCATTCAGTTTCTGGTTGCTTATGTCAAAATATCATTCATTCAGACTTTCTCTTCACTATGCATTCTCTTGTATAAATTTCACTTGATTTATCAACTCACGAACTGGATTGAACTTAAACTTGAACTTAAATCCTTATGAACTAATAGAAAGAGAAATAGTTTAGAAATACCAAATAAATAATGCTGCGTACTATTTTGTCACTGGTTTTGGCAAGAGATCTCAGCCTTATTCCTTCTTGATTCTTATTCCTTTAATTTGGATCTATTCTTTTTATCTCCTTTCATTGTTCTTGATTAATTATTTTATATTAATTAATTTATGGAAAAATGTGCGAAAACGCATACTGTAAAATACCAACTTTTTTAGTAAGTAACTGGAAATTTTGAAATTATGTTGTTTTCAAACCCTCGTATATGGCAAGGGTACATTCTTCGCCCTGTTCTTTCTCTATATGCACTCTTCACTTTGCATTCTCCTGTATAAGTTTCACTTAATTTATTAACTCACGAACTAGATACCAAGTATTTTAAATCCTTATGAATTAATAGAAAACGAAATAGTTTAGAAATACCAAATAGATAATGCTGCGTACTATTTTCTCACTGGTTTTGGCAACGGATCTTAGCCTTATTCCTTCGTGATTGTTATTCCTTTAATTTGGATCTACTATTTTTTTCTCCTTTTATTTTTCTTGATTAATGATTTTATATTAATTAATTTCTGTAAACGTGTCCTAAAACGCATATTGTAAAATACATATTTTTTAGTAACTAGCAATTTTGAAATTATGTTGTTTTCAATCCCTCGTATATGGCAAGGGTACATTCTTCGTCCTGTTTTTTCTCTATATGCATTCTTCACTATGCATTCTCCTGTATAAGTTTCACTTAATTTATTAACTCACGAACTAGATACCAAGTATTTTAAATCCTTATAGACTAATAGAAAGCGAAATACTTTAGAAATACAAAATAGAAAATGCTGCATTCTATTATGTCAATTTCGCAACGGATCTTAGGCCTTATTCCTTTCTGATTCTTATTCCTTTAATTTGGATCTATTATTTTTTTCTCCTTTTATTTTTCTTGATTAATTATTTTATATTAAATAATTTCTGTAAAAATGTCCGAAAACGCATATTGTAAAATACAAATTTTTTAGTAAGCAACTGGCTTTTTTGCAATTTTGTAATTATGTTGTTATATGGCAAGGGTACACGCTTCGCACTGTTCTTTTTCATTATTCTAGATTGTATTACTTCCTGGATGATTTACTTTTTTTATTGCAATGATTCACTTATTGGGACAAACTTTACTCGCGGATTTGTCGGTCGCAATAAGTGGCCGGATTAGTATGAGTTCACCGACTCGCAGGCCAACGTCCAGCATCAGCATTTTTGTATGGGATATTATAGTCGATAAGATTCATAGTATGTTACCGTTTTTTTAGTAGACAGCTGGTAATTCTGAAATTATGCTGCTTTCATACTCTTCTGTATCACACGGGTACACTCCTAGATTTGTTGCTCTTCTTTATGTACATACATTTGAAAATGTTGCAAACATGTGTGGAAGGGAGTTGATAGTGTCTTCTGTAAAATACCATTTTCTTTAGTAGGTGACTGAAAATTCTCAGATTATGCTCCTTCCAAAATCTGGTGTATGACAAGGGTACATTGTTAACTTTATCTTCTTTTTTGCATAGATTATATAGCTTCTTACACTAGTGTGGGGAGACAGAGTTGTCAAGCAATATTGGAATATATATATATATATATATATATATTTTTTTTTTTTGTTGTAGATAAATGCCAATTCTGAAATTATGCTGCTTCCAAAATCTGGTGTATGACAAGGGTACATCATTAACTTTATATATACACAGTGAAGACAGAGTTGTCAACCACTATTGTAATATATATATTGTTGTAGATAAATGATAATTCTGAAGTTATGCTGCTCCCAACCTTTGGTAAATGGCTAAGGAACACTCTTAGATTTGCTGCTCTTGTTTATTTTCATAAATTATACTAGTTCTTAAACTAGAATAGGAAATATATATATATATATATTTTACGCTTTTCTTTAGAAGATAACGGAAAATTTGGATATATGCTCTTTCCTAAAATCTGCTGTATGGCAAAGGTACACTTCATTTTGTGATGGTGTCAATCCTGATTTTGTGATGGGTGGAAAATAAATTGTTTTTTCCATAATAGGCTATTGTGGAAATGAGAATTTATTTCTTACCATCCTCTTACAGTTAGCATTATTCATATTCTTTACTTTCATAGATAGTGTAACGAAACAGAGTTGATAACCTCTCTTGTCAAAAACGTTCCCCTTAGAAGATTACTGAAAATTCAGGAATTACACTGCTTCCAAATTTTGGTGTATGACAAGGGTACACATTTACCTTTATTTATCTTCTTTATTTTCATAGATTACCATATATAATTCTCACAAACTTGTAAGAAGAGTAGATAATGAATTATAAAATATAATTTTGTTTAATAGATAACTGAAAAGTCTGAAGTTATGGTGCTCCCAAATTTGAATGTTTCGCTAGGGTACACGCTTAGCCCTATTATTTTCTGTCATCACTTCTCCCATGGTGTAATACGTTTTTATATTGGCTTGTGTAGACCGGTCCGATAAAAACCTCTGTGAAATGCCATATTTTCTGTACTGAAACTTATGGAATTATTCTGCCCCTGCGATTTTTGCTTAGGCAAGGATACAGTCGTAGCCCTACCCTCTTTACCCATCTTTATTGACGATATAATTTTCTTCAGAACTTCGTGTCTGAACCACATGTTCTCGATTAGAATTACACGATGCCCGAAGCTTAATAAACTTAACAATAAAAATTTCGATAAAATTACGTGTAATTTTTCAAATCTTTATATAACAATTTACCCTTTTGATTTCCCTGAATTTGAAATAAAAATGAAAATTTATGAAGCAAAATATTTTTGATTTTTCTTATCACCTCATTCCGATCTCAATCTGCCGAAAAAAATTCCAAAGTTCTCTTTACATTTATTCAAACCGTTTACTTAAATATGACAAAGGCATAAATCAACTTTGCCTATGTCAAGATAATCCAGTAAATCGACAGCCTTTTCGGGAGGATTTTTATCTTCTTCGGCACCGAGGTCGGACAAAGGTTAAATCATTGATGAGCCGGCCACTTCTAACACAGGTTATTTCTCAATTCAAACCGAAGTGTTACTCCCAAGCTCTTTTATTATTTTTAAGATCTCTAGTCGTATTTGAGCAACAACTTACGCAAGTAAAACATCTTGTTTGTCATGCTAGCTATTCATTCCGAGATCAATCATTCCCTGATATTTATTGTCGAACATATTTCAAACTGGTTCATTTTATCCATTGTCGTGGGACATGATGGCATAAATGAATTTTGCTGTATAATGTTAGATCGGTTATATCGAGTCAAATTACATATATTACAAAGTCCTGACTTTCTAATGAACAGTAAGCATGATGCGCACACGGTTGCAATTTCACTTGCATAAGACGTTGATTGCCAAAGATGATAATGTACAAATACGATTTATTGGGTAGATCGTTAATATACGATGATTTGTCATGTATTAAAGCCATTTCAGATAACAGTACATCACTGTCGCTAATAAAACTAAGTACCAAACACCGTGTAAAAAAAACAACTATTGATTTTTATGGTACACGCTTGTTCTTCAAGACAAAAACAAATTCTCAAGATAAACAAATACATTTGTTTTTCAAATAACAATGTGTTATGTAGACAGCTTAAATAGTTACGTTTGAAAATAAGTAAAGAGAAACAGAGAAGGAAGAGCGGGAGGTAAAGGAAAGGAAAAGTACGTAGTTATACTATTATATTTCCAAGCTATACAACTATTTGTTTCTAATATAATTGTATATTAATCTCTATATCTGTCAATTTTTATAAATTGTTTATTTATTTCTTAAACAAAACTAGAATGGTTAAAAAAATGTTTTTTTTTGTTGCCCTTCTTGTTGAATGGATGTTCTCTAATTCGCTTATTTTAACTATGGTTGAAACCATAAGGTCAGTATTTTATGTAAATGTTCATGATTGTTAGTACGGTAAATTATTAATAATGGTACCAATGTCCTAATAAAGGGCGTGTATATGAAGGGACACCCTAAATATAAAGATGAAAAGTAGAAGAGTATAAAAAGTTACTAAAACCAAAAAGAACAACAAGCACAAGAAAAAACTATTTTAAAAAGGTGATAGATAGAAGAAGAATAATTGGTGAAATGATACGAATTACGTAAAAGCAAAATAGAAAATAGATTCCGACTGAAAAAAAGTAATAAGAAAACGGTGTGAGAGTTGGAATGAGAGTAAGAGGGGAAATGAGAAAGGTAGAAATAGTGAGCACTAGTTCTGATATAAGACAGACGAAAAGAGATAGGCAGATAGAAAGAAAGAGAGAGAGAGAGTGAGAGCGAGAGCGAGAGCGAGAGAGAGAGAGAGAGAGAGAGAGAGAGTGAGAGAGAGAGAGAGTAAGAGAAAGTGATTGTGAAAGAAAGAGAGAGAGAGAGTGAGAGCGAGAGAGAGAGAGAGAGAGAGAGAGAGAGAGAGAGAGTAAGAGAAAGTGATTGAGGGGGGAATGAGAAAGATAGAGATAGTTGCCACCACTTCTTAGTAAAATGGATTATATTAATTTAAATTTTAAAACTTTCGTCATTTATTATATAAATAATAGATTTAGCCGTTTTTCTTAAAGTTTTGACTTTAAAAGATTTTTATGTAGTGTTAGAAATTGAAAGAAGGAAAAATTTAGTTAGTGATAGATATTATAAAGAGTGATTGATATATGGAGATAAATAAAGATTTGTAAATAGATAAAAAGAGAGAGAGAGTGAGGGAGAGAGAGAGAAAGAGCGAGGTAGATAGATAGACAGATAGATAGATAGATAGATAGATAGATAGATAGATAGAGATAGAGAGAGAGAGAGAGAGAGAGAGAGAGAGAGAGAGCGATATTTTTTGGGTGGTACTGTAGTTGACAAAGTTTCTGAAACTAACGATCATGGTACTTGACTGTGACCTAACATTTAAGAAGCATATGAAGCAATTGGTTTCTAAAGGATACCGCAGTCAGGGCTTTATAAAAAACCTCAGACTTTACAAATTTGAAAACCGTTACAATTATTTTTTTCGGTATTGATAGGAGTATTTTGGACTATTGCTCCTCTGTTAGGTTTCCTTGGAATTTGGAGACTTATTCACTCATATTAGAAAAAGGTACAAAAAAGGTTCGTGAAAAGGTTTCCAAAATGGTGCTCAAATGGGAGGAAAAGGAATATGGTGTTTGGGCTCAGGAGTGCCGGCTCGCAGACCCTTGAGAAGTCGTAGTTTGGTCTTTGGCATGTATTTTTATGGGAGTTGGTGAATGGGATCTATTATTTTTCCGAGTAATTAAATAAATTTCCTAGTTCCTAGTAGAAGGAATAGACATGTTAGTACGTTTTATCCTGAATTTTGTCCAACTCGTTACGGACAGTGTGGGTCAGTCCCTTTTTATCAGTAGGCTTTTGCTGATAAATGAGGCAGCATAGAGTTTCTGGGCTGTAAATTTGATATCTTTAAGAAAAATTTGAATAGAGATGTCGCTTGTGGAAATAAATAATTTGTGCTGATTCTATTAGTCTATATTTCGTATTGTAATGCGTTAAGTACCATTACTTTTAACTCTGCACTTGGCATGCTGATTGTCATGTTGCTTATAAATTGTGTACTCATTTCTTAGTACTCATATATAAATTTTTTTATGGTAACTATTATTTAAGACTGTACTACTTGGAAATTTTCCCGTATTGTACTTATTAATAAAGAATAAAAGGAGAGATGTAGAAAGAGAGAAAAAGAGAGATAAACGATATGGATAGAATATTTAACGGATTGTGACTGTACTTTCATTAACCATGTAATTAAATTAATAAACTATAAAATAAATAATGCATTTATTTGAGAGATTATTCATTATTATTCTTGTATGTAAGGTCTTGGTTGAAATGAAAAGGTTGTGTTACTGTGGGCTTAGGTTCGAATCCCGCTCGTGACACTAACTTCTTAATTTCAATCAAGACGTTACAGACAATGAATAATTAATTGAAAGAAGTAATTTGGTCAATCTGACAACTAAATGTAATGTATTATTTATTATATTGGGTTGTTTCACATGAAATGTCCGATTTTATTGTTTCAGAAATTCAGATAGGATATAGAGGTTTTCTCTTGTTTACTTCGAATTGTTTACATAAAATAATTAAACAGTTATTAATCCCCTACTTTTGTCTATAATGATGAGTTCCCCAATCCATTACACACTTTTAGTATATCTCCAAATATGAACATGGAAACACGCCATTTTCGTGTAATATTCCTTTACGAGTTTAAACTCGGACATTCGGAGGCTGAGGCTGCAAGAAAAATCAGTGAGGCGATTGGGGAAGGGAGTGTAAATGAACGAATCATTCGCCGTTGGTTTCGCTAAGTTTTCGAAATGGACACCGAATTGGAAAACGAGCCGCATGGAAGACCTCCTACTTTAATTTGCAACGATGTCCTTAAGCTTCAGCTGGAAGACAACCACTATCAAACAGTCAGAAGACTCGCAGCACAACTAAATGGAAGTGCAGCTACCGTGTCATGACAATTAAGGAACATATGAAAAGTCAAAAAACTAGATCTATGGGTCCATCACGAGCTCACTGAGCGACAGCAGTTAAAGCGCCTCGGGACATGCGTTTCAGTGCTCGCCAGATACAAAACCGAGCCTTTTCCTGAAAACAGTGGTTAAAAATCGACGAAAGACCAGGACACAAAACCCAATTTACACCCCAAAAACTTAGGGTGCTCCGTGAATGGAATTATTCACTACCTTTTTGCCTAGAGCCTAGACCACCTCTACATCGTAGTGCAAGGAAATTGACGAAATGCATAAAACATTATTCAAAAAACAATCTGCATTGGTAAATCAGAAAAGTACTATAACCCTCCACGACAACGGCAGACCTACGTTTCAAAGCATATTATAAACAAATTGAAAGACCTTGGCTACAAAGTTCTTCAGCACTGCCCTGTTTAGGAAGTTAGACAACTTCGTCAAAGAAAAAATGTTTGAAATTGGTGTTTAACTCTAAAAAGCGTTTTTAGATTTTATTTCATTGCAAAGCTCAGAATTCTTCATTTCCGGCATACAAAAATTGGTCACGCGCCAGGCCTATGTTTCAAAGCATACTGTAAACAAATTGAAAGACCTTCGCTACGACGTTCTTCAGCATCGCCCTGTGTAGCAATTTATAAAACTTCGTCAGAGGAACCATTTTTGAAAATGATGTTTAAGTCCAAAAAGCGTTTTCAGATTTTGTTTAATTTCAAAGCTCAGAATTCTTCAGTTACAGCATAAAAAGTTGGTCATGCGCCAGGCCTATGCTTTAAAGCGTACTGTAAACAAATTGAAAGACTTAGACTACGAAGTTCTTCAGCATCCACCTGTTTAGGAATTTAGACAACTTCGTCAATGAAAAAAAAAAGATGTTGAAGTGCAAAAAGCGTTTTCAGATTTTGTTTCATTTCAAAGCTCAGAATTCTTCAGTTCCGGCATAAAAAGGTGGTCACGCTTCGGGAAAAATGTGTAGAAAATGAAGGTAAATACTTCGAATAAAATGATTTTGTTTTTATATAGTAATTTTACCAAAACAATTTTGCCTTGGAAAAAGGACATTTCATGTGAAACAACCCAATAATTTGATTAAACTTTGCAAAAGGAGCTAGTGTTCTATCATATTTTCAGCAATGACTTTCATTTGTATGCACGCTGAATTTGCAAAAAGCTTTTTTTATCATGTTTGGGTTTCAATTTTTCTATTAATTTTTTATGCTTGTGCGTCAGGTATGAAACCGGCAACGAAATCGTAGCCGAGGAGACAGGATACGTGAAGAACTTCGGACAAGGGGAGCCGAACGAAATCCAGACTGCAGTCGGTTCCTACTCCTACACCGCTCCCGACGGCACCAGGATCACCTTGACGTACACCGCCGACGAGAACGGGTTCGTGCCCCAGGGCGACCATCTCCCGACTCCTCCGCCAGTCCCGGAAGCGATCCAACGGGCTCTCGAATTCATAAAGAGCATGCCGCAGCATCAGGACAACAACGAGGCCGCCTCCGAGAACAAGCCGGCTAGGTACTGATCCGACAACTGCTCAATACTCATGCCAAAGTCCAACTGCACAGTTACCATAAAAACTATGTCTATTTTGTAATTTGTTTTATGTAATATATCTTTTAAAAAAAATCATGAACGGTTTTATTTACGTTAACCTTCCAATTTGCATGTCTTTAAATAAAATAATATTGCGTAGGAATTTAAAATACTAAAACAAACATAAAAAGCAAATTTCATGCTGACATTTGTGTTATGTAATGAAAGTGCATAACATTTCATTGCTCATCTTCATTTCTTAAACATGCATTATTGATAAATATTTTGTTATACCGACATTGCACCATAGCACTTAGGTTTTGCGTTTTGCTCGACGATCACTCGACCCTTAAGTCATCATATTACGTAAAGTGTTTTGTTTTTCATTCAGCCCTCTCTCGGCGAGCATTGTCAATTGAAAAAGTATCGAGAGAAATCGGTTTGGATTTAGGTTCTTCTTCGTTTAAAGATGCCGATTCAAATCGTGCACGGGGTTACGTCGACTTCGAGGAAGTGGATGTCCCAACATTCTACGTTATTGTGACCACAATTGCTCTTCACCTTTGCGGGCATTGTACTTCTAATTGAGGTCCCTCTTTTCGTATGGTAATGCGGCCCGAGTGGAAACGCAAACTTTGCAACTCTGTGCCAATCGTGGACGGTTTCTTTTAAATCCATGCCAATTTTGCTAAAAATTTACAAGATCTGAACTTTTACTAAGTTTACGGCAAAACACTTAGTGGCGCTTAAATGGTATCTAGTAAGATAAAATTGCTCTTCTAATCCGACAAAAATCTAAAAAGGGACAAATTATAAAATACATTATATAAGCAATGTAGATTTAACATAGTATGTAGTCATGAAACTGTGGGAGAATAAAACGTGTTTTAATCTGGAAAACTAGGGGAAGAAAAAGAAAAAAATAAGAAAGAAGAAAATTTTAAAAAGAGAATGAGGACTAAGTAAAAATTGCAGGAAAAATATACATATGAATCACAAGAAAGAGAATTACAACCACAATGATCTAGGCCTGTGCTTACTGACAGGCCTGATTTTAAATAAGTACATAAAGATAGAAAAATAGATTTTGTATACTTGAACATAGTCTTTGTTACGATTTTAATTAGAAATAGTTGCAATATAAAAAAAAGAAAAGATGGTGGTTGCCCTTGGCATGCAGCTTGTAATGTTGCTTACAAATTTTATACATATTTCTTAGTACTCGTACATAAAATTTGTTATGTGACCTATTATGTAAGACTGTACTATTTTGCGAATTTTCCCGTAATTCACTGAGTAATAAAGAATATAGGGAGAGTGGTAGGAAGAGGGAAAAAGAAAGTTAAACGACAAGGAGAGAATATTTAACGGAGTGCTACCATACTTCTATTAACCTTGTAATTTTTAGAAAATATTTTTTATAGTTTGATTGAATTTTGTAAAAGGTGGAGCTGGTGATCAGTCATATTTTAAGCAATGTCCTTGTTTATATGCACAAGATGGCTCGAATCATCATATACTTTTTTGAAGGCAGTTTGAGCATAATTTGCTGAAAGCGACAGACATAGAAGTACAGTAGAAGAATTAATTACTGATTTAATTTAAATTTAATTTAATATTTCGAAAGGTAGGTTAAGCTGGATAGTTGGGGCGAGAGGATCGAAGTCACCATAGCTCAAGTGGTAGAGCAACGGCGTATTTAGCCGAAGGTCGTGGGTTCGAATCCCGCTCGTCATGCGCTTTTTATCTCAACCAAGACCTTACATAAAAATAATATTTAATTGAAATAATTAGTAGGCTTAAAAGGCGAGAAATATAAGAAAAGAAATGCAAAGCTAAGAAAGAGTGGTCTAAAGGTAAGCACAAATAAAATAGAATGGCGGTCGGAGTGCCTCAAGGTTCCATTCTAGGCCTCACATTGTACATAATTTCCACGAATAACCTTTACAATTACTTTCCTGCGATTCAATTTACAGCATATGATGATGATTGCAGTTCCCAGTTGAATGGACAAAGTGAGATAGAGCTGATCGAACGAAATAGTGAACTGAAATTTGAAAAAGTGGTTCATTGAGAATGGTCTATACAAAGAGAAGACAAAGGTTATCATTCTTAAAACTTCCAATTCAAGAAATTGTGTAGTAAGCGACAATCAACCGATAAAACCCTTGGGTGTAAGTTATAGATTCACATTTCTGTTGGTAAACACATCGTCAATTTGTTGCATCTAAACATAGCAAACAATTATTTTTACTGAGCAGTCTCAAATATAACTCTAAGAGTTTTAATTAATGTTTATTTTTCTTGATTCCAATCGGATATTGTTTATGCCTCATTGGTCTGGAGCCCCTCTAGTCATACCAAACTAATTTTCAAAAAACAAAGCTATGAGAATTTTGGGGAATTTAAATTATGGGGAATGTTGCAGAGAAGCATTTATTAAATTAAACATTTTGACTTAGCCTATATATCTTACAATGTGTAATGTATTGTTATAAACAATTTTTTAATTCTGTACATAATCACTACACGAGTAGGTGCTGAACTGAAAAGATGCGAAAACTCTTGTAAATATTGGGCTATAATTTTTTTTAAAAATCTACCAGGTAATGCCAAATTGTTAACTGAAAATTAAAATGACTTAAAATAATAAAATTCCTCACGGTTAATACCTTTCATGGCTGAGGTGTTTTGTCATATATAACTAGTGGGATAAAAATGAATTAATTTGTACTATTCTTGGCAAATGTAATGACAAAACTTGTATTTTGTTTAGTTAACACAGCTTTGACAAAGGAAAAAATAGAATACCAAGTGAAGAAGCTCGGAGATAATTTCTGGTCAATGCAAAAGTAATCATGAAAAATAAAATAATTACAAAACTAAAACAAACATGCTTGATCACGGTTTTATTATATGAAGCATAAACTTAGATCGCAACTTCAGCAGAAAAGAGACTAAAAGCATAAAGAGGATCGTAAGTCTGCTAGGGAACGTAGAAGAAAAAATTACATGGACTGGGCAGGGATGCTCCGATTTGTTTAGAATGGCAACATATAGAAAAGAGGAAATTTTAATATACACAAATTAATACGACAATAAGTACAAAACATCAAATAAAAGTACAAAAAATGTAATATAATTATGGTTTTATCGTATGAAGCTCAAACATGGTCTACAAGTTCAAAAGAAAAGAGACTACAAGCAGCACAGACGACGACGATATGAAGTATGATAGGGGTTACAAAGGGATAGAAGAAATGTGACCCTGAGACGAGAACTTTTTGGTTATCGCCGAAGTAGCAAGAATGATGAAATGGACCCGGACAGGGATGGAGGATTAAGATGGGCAAATAATGTCTGGAAAAGGCAAAAGAAGAAAAAGGGAAAGACAATTTCACAGATGGGAAGAGACCCTCGTAAAAATTGCAGGACAAGAAAGAGAATTAAGCCCAGAAGATCCAGTCTTTAGCTCGCTGATGGGCCTATTTCTAAAATACGTATATTGTAAGCAACTAAGTTAGTTATTACGTTTTTTTTAAAATAAAATGTCTGTTTGTCTTCTGTTTTTTGTTGTTGTATTATTCAACCGAATCAATAATTTGTATTATTATAATTTTAATAATAGAAATTACAGACTAGTCGTTCATATGCCTCGATAGATAAATAGCTTATTCCTGGTAAGATATTGTTCAGAAACATCTTTCTGCGGTTCTATCATATTTTAGATATCATAATTATTTTTGAAATCTACATTTTTGCTAATTTGAAAAATTATTGACATGTAGCATAAGAAAGACAGCCATTCAATCAAAAACAATCAGGCTCAGCTCACTGTTAGGCATGACTCTAAATTCGTACATAAAGGAAAATAAATTAACTTAGATATTTCATTAATTTCAAAAAAGCAATAGGGTTTTTTGTATTTGGTAAACTATTATGATTTTAATAAGGGACATTAGTCATTCAAATGCCTGGATAGATACATACCTGATTTGTGTGGGTTCATTCTAGATATATATACCTAAGTCTCAGGATTTAGTTGGACTGTTAGATATAATGAATGAATTTTTTGTTTATTCGTTTTTTTCTGTTTAGGATTTTAATTATATATCGTATATATAATATATAATACAATGTAATAATATACAGGGTGTCCCAGTTCCTTCTGACGAAACTAAGGGAATCGATTCTACTCTTCGTTTGGAGCAAAAAATGCTCAGGAGAAAATTTCCGGAAACTTCTCTATTTTGAAGATATTCGTCAATTTAGGTTTTTTTCAACTTTTCACTGCCTTACCACATAAAAACGCTTACAACTTCCAAAATGTTGAGACTACAACAAATCCAATTACACCATTTGAAAGAACGCTAAATTTGCTGTAAGATACTTCTTTGCAATAATCTGAATGACATAAAATGTTAGCCAATATCAGTTGGAACATGTCAAAATTAAAAAATTTAAAATTTTGGTCGTGATTGCACGTTCTACTGAGATTAAAAAAATACCTACAACTTGTCAAATTTACAAAAACTTCTTCTCTAATATGCTTTACGTTGATATATCCAGGTTTTTAAATAACGTTCTAGTATAGTTGAAAAATAACAATTGAATGTTCAAAAACGTGAACCAAGGTAAATTTGAAGGGGGAGAACTTCCGAAAATTTTTTCCTGAGCATTTTTCGCACACACTCCCTGATATGGTCTATGGTATTTTAGAAACCATTGGCTTTAATAGATTAGTTTAACTATTTATTTGATTTTTTAAATTGCCAATACGCATATTTAAATTGCCAATTCAAAGCTTACTGTAAAACATAAATCTCTAAATTTTTTGCGTGCAAATTTTTACGACTTACAATAGCATAAACTTGGCCTCGGTTAACAATAATAATAATTGGAGATATAAAATAAAAGGTTTCGGGAGTTCATCCTTTTTTTCTGTTTTAGAACATCAAATAAAAACACTGTTGACAAAGGTTGAAGTGTAAAGTATATAAAATCGTTGATATTCGATAAATCTATCGCAGCAATGCATTTTTTATAGAACACCGGACACCGAAGAAAAAAAAATTACCACGGCTAATTCAGCCCAA